AAAATTCAGTTACAGACATAACTAAAGCTATTTCGGAAGTATTAGAATCAAATTTGGACGAGGATGCTTCACGAAGCCCCTATATTTCTTTAATGATAGCTGAGTCAACAGATATTTCAGTTGAATATAAATTAATTATATATGTGAAATATTTGAAAAACAAGAAAGTCAGAACTGTCTTTTGGCAAATTTAAAACTTTCGGGTGAATGCAATACAGATGCACTGAAAGAAATAATAATTAAGTTTCTCAACGAAAAAAGTACTGTTATTAAAAGTTGTTGGCCTTTCACAACAGATGGTGCTGCTGTTATGATGGTAAAAAATAATGGACTTGGCAAAAAATTTCAAGATATGATACCTGGTTTATTAACAATGTAAAACCTTAGTTTAGATACCATCTCTTTCTAGCTCATTTGAATACGCGCGAACTAAGATTGGCATTCTGGCAGGAAAACGTAAAGGAAGAATAACAGTAAAGATACTCAACATAAAATAGCTGGTTATATAAAATAAATAAATACCTTACAAGCTTTAAAATTTCACTATAATTATAGTCAGGATGTGGCATTTAAGTATATAATAAAATAACATTAATAAACCCAAGTTTTTATTTTTGTTTGTTTAATTGGTGCCAATGCTAATTTCGCAATTAAAGTATTAGCATTTATGCAAGGAACCGCCATTTTGGACAGTCAGAAGAAAAAGGTCAAAAACAAATAATAATCACCTTAATCCTCAAAGTAATCACCATCGGCATTCAGTGCCTTTTGCCAACGAGTGGCATAGTTGTGATGCCATGGGTAAAAGGTTTGAGTCTTAGACGTAAAACGGGCCTTTCAAGTTCTGGCTGGTTGTTGAAGGATTTCACCAAGATGATTGCCCAGAGAAAGAAAATGTGGTATTATGTTGACAGAGGTCTGGGGAGTATGGTGGATGGGGTAGTGTCTCCTAGCACAGTCGTTGGATGGTGTCCCTGGCCTTCCGAGCCACATGCGGGGTCGCATTGTTATGGAGGAAGAGTACACCCTTACGATTGACCAATGCTGCCTCTTTATGCATCAGTGCCTGATGCACACGTTCCAACTGCTTCGAGTACAGGCCTGCCGTGATAGTTAGGTCCACTGGCAGGAGCTCATAGTGCAGCACTTTGCGATTAGTTCACCAGATACAGAGCACTGTCACTGCATAGCTCACTGTTTAGCTTTAGCTGTTTCTCAAGCTGCTGATTGAATATCCCTGTTTCAAAGCTGCCAGAGAATTTTAAGTTCATTGTATGCTTATTTTCACACGTCCAATATTGGGATTGAAAAGATGAAATTGATGCAGGATGTGTTAAATGAGCCAAACATAACTCTCAAAGACATAAATGCTGTTCGGTGGTTGTCACTTGGGAATGCAATTGATGAATGTCATATCAGTTTTGCCCTGATAGACATAATTTAAACAAGCAATCCTATGGACAAGGGCTCAGGACTACTTAAACAATGTTCACAATTTTCATTTGCAGCCACCTTGTCATTTTTGAGAGATGTGTTACTGATTATGAAAAAAGTCAGTAGAATTTTTTGGAGCAATGATGTGGACTTCTCCATGTTGGTTAACAGTCTAGAATCAACTATTAACCCTCTGACTGCTCAATTTGTAGACAAAAATCACTTCCAAAATTGCATTTTTTTTTTTTTTTTTTGTATATTTTAAATCTATATATATAGGAGAATTTAAAAATGCACTTCTTCTTCCTAAAAATATTTTTTATATAGATTTTTATCATGAAAAACTAAGTAGCCAGAAAAAACCAATTCAGATGTTATCACAAATAATAAAAATAAATAAATAAATAATAAATTTCAGTCAAATTACAGTTAATTTCTATTTATTCATAATATAAAAAAATAAAATGTATAAAATTAAGAAATATAACGCACTGAGGGAAAAATACCTTAAAAATGCACTTTAGTATGACAGAGTTCAAACTTCACAGTCTTTGCACCAGATTTAATAAATCTAATTAATAATCAATCTAATAAATAATTCAATAATTGAATTAAAAAATCAAGATAATCGCTGAACGTCTTCTAGCAGCCATTTCTGCAAGAAAAAAGTGGCAAAAAGTGCCAAATACCGCAATTTAGTGGACAACTAACAATATCTGTTGGCCAAAATGTAAACTAAACAGTATTATAATTTATTTCAATGGTTAAACGGGGAAAAAACGAGATGCACTCCTCAATAAAGGAAGAGAAACATATGCCCGTGGAAATCACGGTATGAGCAAATTTTGCTACATTTGAGTTGCCCATGGAAATCGCGGGATGATCAGCCAGAGGATTAATCATGAAGGAAGGAAAAAAAAGGAAGGGTCATGGCACTCAATCTAAAGGATTTTTTAGAGTCTGCTCTTTAATGGGCATTACCGAGTTCCAGATATTAAATTATCTGTTTCTACTAAATCATTGAATGATTTCATGAGTGCTAAAAATGCTTTTTTGAGTGCACTGATAGAGAATCTGCAAGAAAGATTTTGCAGCTGATGCATCTTTTGCAGGATTTTGATGTTTTGTTGAATCCCTCTTGTGTTCAACAGAATCACCAAGACTGGAGTCCCTAGATAATGTTATTAAACATTATCATAGGCCAGATTCCACTTCAGTTTTGGGTGTATCAGCAGAAGAGTTAAAGCAAGAACCCCTTGAAGTAGAGTCTTTTTATGCACGTTATAGAAAATTCAAATTTAAACGGTTTGCCAATTTGTTGTTCTCATCAAGTTGAGTTGGTGAACTCTTATATCTAGGATTTACAGCCCTGCACAAATAGCTATGACTATACCTTTGTCAACGGTTGTTTGTGAAAGAGAATTTTCTACACAAAATAGGACCACATCAAACAGGAGAAATAGATTGGGGGAAAAACAACTGGAAATTCTAACGAGAAGCCCAGATTTCAAAGAACAAAGGGGAAATGTTTTTTGTGATTTTAATTTTGAAAGAGCAGTAACCTTGTAGAAAAAGGAGATTAGAATTGTAATGTAACCAAGGAAAATTGTTTTTTTGTGACTTTAATTTTGAGAGGGAAAAGAGATTAAAACTGTAATGTAACCAAGAATAAGTGTTTTTTGTAACTTTAATTTTGAAAGAGTTTTGTTATTGTAATCAGCTGTAACATGTGGAAAAATCAGAGGAATAAAGGGATTTAAATTTGTATTATAACAAATATTTACTTAGAACGTTAATAAAAATAAGTTCTTTTATTTATAATGCTTAATTTTCTACTAATACTTAACATATGCTGTAATGACCAAAACCAAAATAGCATCCTCATTTTTTCTATTCATTTTTGTCCATAAAAAATGTGTTTTTTTATAGAAAATTGTCTCTGTATATGTGTTATCTATTCCGTATTTCACTCCTCCTAAAAAGGTCAAGGAGTATTTTTATTCTTCTAAAAAAATCCTAGGTATAACACTGGTTGCGCAAATATATAAAGTTAAGTTTGACTGTTAGTAACAATAACTATCACAAAGAATGCTTCCAGTAAATAATAAAGAAAAACATCAGTGTTTACATGGAAGGAATATCCTGGAAACATTATTTTCTTTCTGCAAATCAAAACTTCCTGGCATGCTTTCAACAAGAGCTCTATCAATTGCTGAGTGAATAATACTACATGCTTATTTTTTTCTCCCCCCCCCAAAAAAACTCATTTCAAAACAGGTTTTTTGCTTTCACCGAAAATTTACTATAATTTTGAAAATATATCACATCACTGAAATAAAATCAAGATACAAAGCAGCAGGCATGAAAATATAAAAATTAACACACAAAAGGTAATTAATGAAAAATCATGTTACATACGCATATTAATTTTCAATCAAGATTGATATGTAGCAGATCAAATTTAAAGTACTATTTTGAAACAGAACATCAGAATTACCTAGTTGCTCCAGTGCAAGTAATCTTTCCAGAAGACCAAATGCTTGCTGTAGTGTAAGGTTTCTATCTCATAGTAACCATCTTTTAAAATTTAAACTATTATATTTAAAATTTAAACTTTACATAAATCAAAAATCGCGAAAATAACATTACTCCTTAATTAATTTGCCAGCATGACAAGATTTATTAGTGAAAATCAATGCAATGTCCAAAAATCTATTGAGCTGACACTACAACCTATATTTAGGTACTGGTTTTTACTACTACAGTACAAAGTTTGCGATCTGGACGTCAGCGATTCTGGATTTATGATTTTTCCGGGTATTAGATCATCAGTTTAAATCTAGTACGACGAAATAATAAAATTAAAATCATGAAAACGTGATCTATACAATAATGAAGCATTTATCATCTAAAGGGTATCAAAATTTAGGAAAAAAACAGCTTAGTATTTATTTGTTTACTTTATTAAACATTTCCTTGACTGTAAATTGTTTAAGTTGCTTCCTTTTTTGTGCTAATACTTTCTCATCAATTCTATGGACAGACATAATCTCTTGTTCAGATACAAAGTTCCACTGCTCAAGTCCTTAGTTGCTGTGTCGAGAATTCCGACGAACTCGTCAATCAAAATCTCTTCATTTTCAATATTGAAGCATTGTGATCGCAATGAAAAACTTTACTATATCCTCTTCATTTATTACTGCTTCAATGCATTTCTTTACAAAATCCATTAGATAGAAAATTTCACCTGTGTTTTGCAATATCCAAAAGCCTTCAAATTCGCGGCTGTCACCTTCTTCAACCTCACCATGAAATATGGGGGTAGCTGGCCATAAATTATGCCTGCACATTCTTCCACGATCTTACAATGCTCTACACAGCAGATTTTATGCTAACGTATTTAAAAAATTCTTCACACGTCTTGCCAATATTCAAGAAATCTAACATGGATTTTAAAAATGTGACTTGTGATGTGTGAATATATTTGCACTTCACGCACACTGTTCCAATATATATAGGCTGAATGAAGGACTTGGAAGAAAGAATAACATGGATACATTATCTTTCATTGAAACTTTAAGTGAAATATGAGCCCAACAGTTATCTACAATCAGGACAATTTTTTTGTCATCAGGTAAGCCAAACTTCAAATTTTGCCGAGTCTCGGTATGAAATGATTTTCAAACATATCATACATGTCATCCGTGCTTTTTTGTTTGCATGATATATAACAGGAAAATCTTCACTCCTTTAAATGTCGCATATTTTTTCCGATTACGAAAAGTTAATATTTGTGCGTTCTTTCAGCATTTGCACCTGCTAAAATCGTTAGTCTAGCTTTCGAAGACACCAGTTGGAGCCTTTTCTGTAGAGGTTGCCATGGTATTTTGCTGCACATATTACCAGAAAAAACCAGTTTCATCAATGCTGTAAATTTGTCCTGGAGATAACGTTTCCAAACAAATGTTAACAAAAAATTCATCTGCATACAATTCAGCAACTTCAACTGAAACATTTTGAACTGTAATTTTTAATTGCATTACACCACAGATATTTTAAAATTTGGTTAATCAGTCTATTAAGTATGTGCACTCAGTTTTTAAGTTCAATTCTTCATGAAATATTTTGGCTTGGGCCATTAGCATTGGACCCATCAATGGCATGCCCTCGTTGCATCTCTGTCTCACCATTCCATCTTCACTTTGTCATGAACGTCACTTTTAGCATAGCGAATAATTTTTATGTTATTCATTTCGAATGGGGTGTTGGAATCCACAAAAATTCATAAAGTTCCTTTTTCTGTTATGTCATCATATACAGTTGACTTTCCAATGCCATACTCCTCGCATAATTTTGACCTATTAATACCTATATCCAATTTTTTCAGCAATCACTTTTTGTTTAATGGACATCGAAACATGCTTTCGCTTTGTAGATCTTGTTGCAGCTCCAGAATTAGAAACTCTTTTCGACATAATTGAAAGTTCAAACTTTAGTTTTCATACAATTGCTGTAATTATAACAGCCTACAAAAATAAGCTGGATCAAATCAGAAAGTTAAGGAATGGCACAATCTGCTATACAGTTAATACTGAAATTCTTTAGAATCAGGTAAGTATCCCTTAAGCCTAGCTTAACAGCACCCGCTAATACATAACTGCCTTTACAGCATGGCAACGAAATGTTCCTACTTACGTCTAATTCTTGCACATGCTTACGGCTTATCTGTGTCTTGAATAAATGAATTCCTACATATACTTAAGCTTACTGACGGCTGGCGCTAGATATTTAATGCAGTCTCTGCGAGTGCTAAATTCTACTACCAAGTGCCTCCGAAAGTTCTAAATTTTTGCCGTCCCTTAATTTTGGGTTCCTAAATTCTAAAAATTTTATCACCCCTTAAATTTGTTACTTGGTGCTTCTCTAAAGTTTGTCTTACCTAAATTTTGGCCCCTGAGTGTGGCCAAACGAGCTCTGGCACCGATTCTGCGTTTATGTGAATACAAAATAAGTCACTCTTAAATAGCACTAAATTTAATCTTTTGGCCTATGAGTATCATTAACAAAATTAATTTTTAACACATGGAAAGAAATTTTTGTTAAATTCTTCCTCGGCAACACATTTAGCAGTGCATTTACCTTAAATCTGTAATCATCGTCAAGCATAATATTAACATAAAATGTTTCCATACTCTTTCTTATTCAATTACTACTTAAAAAAAAAAAAAAAATTGTTTAGGGATCGCCACATGAGTCATTACTCAAAATGTCATATGTTGATAAACATACAGTGATGAAAGCAAAATATATTAAATAATGATTTGCCAGGTTGGCATCAGGGATATAAAATATTAGATAATATATTTGAGATGTATGCCAAGCAGATATGCAGATACTGAGCTAAATTACTGATTACACAAATTTTCGCTAATATGATTGTTTCTTTAATAACGAGGTGTTTTATTTAGTGCCAAAGTGAAATTAGGAATCAATCTACACGTTTTTTTTTACAGGGGGAGGGGGGATCAAATCCGCATGCCTAAAGCATGAAAAGAAATTCCTAAAAATTTTTTTGTTGGCGGCTTTAAGGTCTGGACTTCAGATCATTCTGGATATTGGACGTCTGGATCTCGGACTTTGTACTGTACAGAGTTTTCATGAAGTGAAGAAAAATAAAAAGATCACCATAAAAATATTTGCCAAAATCTGATCAAACCACTAACACTGTTAAGCTTAAAATGACATAATTATAATTAACATTTCACTTATCACCTATTCATCATCACAATTCATACACAGTATCTGGTAAAAAATTAACTGGCTATAGAAGCCACCACAATATACAATTTAATAAGCAATGTGATAATTCCTTATTGAAAGAAAAATGGCTTAACAGAATTCTTACCCTTAAAAATTAAATATGCTTTTAAGCTCATGCTTGTTTACATTACTGCAGGCAATAATCTGTTGTTTAATCCCTTGCCTTTGGAGTCCCCCCCCCCCAACAACAGACTCTCAGCTGACTTCGGCTTGGCCACTACTAAGACCAGAAGTGGTGACCACTTTATTATGGAGGCACCTAATAAGTCCGCCACCTTTGCCTCCTATGAAGGGACAGACACTTACAACCACATCTTCTCAAGGATTCGAACTTGTGCCCTCTGATATTGCAACTGGCTTCCCTAACCGTTACACCGTCTGGCTTTTGGAGCAGAAATTGCTTAAAGTACTCCCACAAATGCTCAGTTTCAACTTTGTTTAAAAAATCAAGGTTGCAAATTAATGTGCAGAAGGATCTTTACAAAGTATAGTTTAAAGAATTAACCTTTTTATAAATGAAAACTATCATCCTGTGATATGAATAATACACTTACTGAATCTACATAAAGGGCAGAGATATGTAATTTTTACTTGCATACTGTGTCCCCTCATCCACTTTTTCTGTACATGATTTAGAAATATCTGATAGCATTTTGCAACGTAAAAATGGATAGCAAAGTAATGCTTAAACAAAAAGAATATTATTGAAAGCTATAACAGTCGGGTCCGTGATGCTTAACCGACAGGACATTTAGCAGACACGGACAGTTAGCCGACAAGGGCAGTAAGCCGACAGGACATTTGGCAGACACAGAGAGTTAGCCATCAGAACATTTAGCTACGGGACACTTAACTGTCAAGACATTTAGTCAACAGGATACTAAGCCAATAGTGACATTTAACTGGTACGTAACAAATCATTATTTAAACTTACTATCAATTAGAAAATTTCTCGACCTCTCCATAAGTTCAATATTTAAGTTATTTTGTCACCTATCAGTAAAATTCATTTTTTGATTCTTATAGATCTCATATGGGCTTTTAATTACTGTGTTAATTTAGCACTGTTTGATATGTATCGTGCTCTTAGTGTATATCGGCCAAACTGAAAAATCGCTGAAATTTCTCGTCGGGAAATATGAATTAAATTTCGAAAGGAAAAAAAAAATTTAGCTAAGTACAGTGGTCACTTAATTACATTTGGGATCTTCAAACATTATTCATAAAGCTTCTTCATTTAATCAACTGGGTTCTTTTGAACACTTTCACATCATTAATAATTTTTCTTGTTTACTTAACGATATTAATTTTCCAATCTCGCTCTTTCAAATTTCTAATACCTTTATATTTCATTACTATTTTACTCAATACATCATGTTACATTCTTTTCTTTACAAAATCAATTCGCTCCTCCCACAAATAAAATTTCTTTTCCCTGTTATGAAAAATCTAAATAATGCAATAAAAATTGTTATTCTTGAATTATGCTTTTTATAGAAACATATGGTGGTGAAGGGTTTAGTTTCGAAATATATATTGTTTTGTTATTAGAAACAATTAAAAAAACGTGCATCAGACAAACAAAGGTATAAATTATTGACCTCTATAATGGGCTGTTCATGCCACCATACTTGAGATAAAAATTCTGCAACATTTTATTGACCATGCCTCTTTCTTAAAATACTTAGGTTAATGTTTATAGCACTAAACTGGTGCATTATGTTTAATTTAGAAGTAAAATATTCTTTACGGTTTTA